GGTGGTGAGTCCCGGATGTCCCAGTCCTATTCATGTCCTCCCTGGTCCACTCCTCCACTCTCCCTCAGCCCCCTCCCTCCGTGCTAAGTCTGTATGGAGAGCCCTGAGTGACAGCTGGCTGGGGCTCTCCGAACTGATTTCCAGGTGGTCTCGTTATGGTTCAGGTCTGGAATGTCTCCCAAAGTCTCATGTGCTCAGAAGTGGGGCTTTTGGAAGGTCTTCGGACCATGGAAGTGCATTGCTCACCAGTAAGTTGACACATTGATCAGTTTATACCTAAATGAGCTGTTAGGAGAAGGACTTGTCTTTGGAGGGTGTGTTGGTTACTTTTCTTTCACTGCTGAGACAAAATACTTGACATCCAAAGTTGGAGGAGAAGGGGTTTATTTGGCTTACAGTTCATAGAGGTTTCAGTCCATACTCGGCTGGCTCTGTGGCTGGGATGGCAAACAAACATCGCACAGGAGAAACAACATGGTGTGCACAAAACAGCAAGGGTAACAACAGGATTTAACAGTGTATTTCTGCCCTTTTATCTTATTAGCACTCACACCCTTAATCCTACTGCCCTTGAGCCTAGCTTTGCATCATGAATCAATTCCAGCTTCACACACTCTAGATCCAGCCTATGAGCACATGAGGCTTTGGGGGGTCATCCAGACCCAAACCATAACCAAGGGTATATCTCCCTCCCTTGCTTCTCTTTTATCTCTCTCTCTCCTTCCTGTCATGGAGGTCAGCAGCTTTCCTCCACCGTGCTTTGCTGCCATGCCATTTCTTCCTTGGAGCCAACCAAACATAGCATGAATTCTCTGAAATTGTAAGGCAAATTAAACCTCAAATCCTTCACTTGTGAGTGTCGGGTATTGTGTACCTGCAGTGGGAAACTAATCAATACAGGTGTCTCTCATGAACACTGGCCACTGCTCTTCCCCAAATCCTCCCAAAGGCCCTCTCTTGATGAGGGTATCCTGTATGCTTTCCTTTCCTGGACCCTGGATATTCTTACAGAATATTTTTCTCCTCAAATTAAGAGGGAAAATGGCCTGTTGACATTTCAGAATTTAAAATCATCTGTGATTTTTATGAGACTGCAAACTAGTATAGCTCCAGATCTATTCACAGGGGGACACACCCAGCCCTGTCCCTTACCAGCCAGTCACCTGGGAAAGTCCTAGTCCTGGGAGACCGGGACTCTTCATCTGTGAAGCGAGTCTGACCAGGCCCATCCAGTAGGACTACAGGAAGGTGTGCACCGCGTGGAAAGCACCCAGCCCAGTGCCTGGCTGGAGCTGTGACCACACTGAACGGCAGGTGGTTGCTGTTTCTAACAGGATTGTGTCCAACCCTAGCACTCAGGGATGTTGTCATTATTGTCACTGCTCTCCAGGACATATCGGAGACTATGCAGCTCTGCACGGCAAGGAAGAGTGAATCAGTGAACATATATTTTGTAAATAAAGTTCTGTAAATCCACCCTCTTAGAGGACATGTCACAAAAGCTATGCACAGAACAGTCTTCCTTGGTGGATACAGCTCAAACTTCTAGAATGTGAGTGAAGGACCAGCTCCTTCTCTCCCTCTCAGTTGATTATCTACTCGAACCATTCTTTTTTTCGTTTTCTTTTTTTATTCTTTGTTTATTGGTACATTTTAGGTATACAATATGATTGACATTCATCATTGGGATCTTGCACCTTTACATAATCTCTCTTGGTTCTTATTTTTCCCCATTCCCCTGCCCTCCTTTCAACCCCTCCATCCCTCCCTATTTACAAAGACTTTGTTTCAATTTTTCCATTTTCTCATAGTAATTCCATTCCCTTCTTTCCTTTCCCCTACCCCTCTCACTTCCCTTTCCCCCTCCCTTTGCCCCTTTTCTTCCTATTTCACATTATCTCTTATACATTTTGATCTTTATTTGCATTTTCAGTTTCTCACACCAGAGAAACTATTTGGTATTTACAATGTGTGTCCTATGTTTTTCACTTAAGAGTATCGCCTCAATGTGCATCCATTTCACTATTGTTTGCATTCATTTCATCACCACCCAAATCTAGCTTTTGCTTAGAATTGTGCCAATGACACAGAAAGTGACCTAAGTATAATTCTCCAATGCACTTCCCTCTGGCTTTCTCAGGCCAGGAACAAGTGTCAGCCTAGATCTTTCTGGGCACAACTTTAAAGAAGTATCCCATTTCCCTGGAAATTATTGCAGATAATGGGTATAAATCACCTAGACCTGTGTTGTATCCAGCTGTACTGGGACAAGATCTCAGGACATGTCCCATGTCTGACTCAAGTGAACATTCCTCTCCCCTTGAGTGAAAATAAAATCCCTCAAAGCAGTTTTCCATTTTCAGCCTCACAATATTTCAACTGGGTAGTCTGGCTCCAGCCACTAACCAGCTGCATTGAAATGGACTCTCACAGAGGGGACAGCATTCTCTGCAATCTCCAAATGGCCAGCGCTCCACATTCCCCCGGGCTGCTCTCTGCTGGGCCCCATCCTCACTGCTCTTTCACTTGTTCTCCAGGTCCTGGAGGACGTTGCTCCATTTCCTGACATGGCTGCTGCCCCAGACCCCACCATCCTGTGGGGAAGAGCAGGTCCTGCTCAGCCTAGTTTACTCACATCTCCACCACTAACACTGGGCTTCCAAAGAGCACTTTTCAATGAAGGTTTCCGTCAATGCATCAGTGAGCAAATGGGGTTCTTTATTAAGAATAAATGTCTCCAATAATTTTGAATGACTCAAGCATATACAGGCATTTTTAAAAATTTTACAGAACAACACACTAAAAGGGTAAAGGAAAGGAAGAATTAAGTGTCTTTAACATTTTTCTGTCTTTAATGACTCCACCTATTTCATGGATAACTTCTTTATATCTCCAAGAAACTTGTATTTCAATGCTGTGTTAATCTGCCTCCAGATCACAAAATAGAATGGAAGATTTTACACTTTTACAAAACAGCAAAACTCTTAAAATGTTTAAGAAGCAATATGTTTGTCATCACTGCCCTTAAACATTTAGAAAGGGAAGTTAATTATACCTTCTATTACAAGGAACAACTTTTGGAAACAATTTCAAAAAGCAAAAAAATCTCCAAGGCACCCACATAGAACGCAAAGATGTTATATGATGAGTTTATACAGCCCCTAGTCTTTCTCTGCACTACTTAGAAGAGTGACTGCTCTTTTCAGACACAGTGAAGAAGCTGCCTCAGAATTCACTTCACACTGGAGAACCTGCTGGATGTGGCACTGGCAGGTGCCCTGTCCTTGGTCCTGACCCAAGGCATCACCCCTCCACTGGCCCTGGACCTTGGGCCCTATCTTCTTCATCTCCCAGAACGTCCCCATAACAGATCGGAAAGGCATTGGGGGTGGTATCATTGACTTTGGCCAAAAATTCTACAACTTTCTTCTTGCTGGTTTCAGCGTGGGCCCTTGGACCCCACAGGAACTCATAGCAAGCAGGATCGCTATTGGGCACCTGCTGATACTCCAGGTACCCTTCCTGTACCAAATCCTCGGTGATGAATTTCCTGGGTTCCCCATAGATGAAGTGCTCCCTCCCAGCATACACCCCGATCCCATTCAGCACTTCCCAGATGACCTCCTCACTGGCACTGTTGCCCTGAAGGAAGATGACACCCAGGACGATTATCAGGAGACTGGTCTTGGGCATGCTCTGGTCCTCATCCACCATCCCATCATAGGTGAGGCCCAGGGCAGGGACAAGGACATAGGACTGGCTGTGAGGGTCCACTTCCTTCACCTCAATGCCAAAGACTAGCTGCATGCACTCAGAGACTTCCCTGAAGATCACAGGGAAGTGCTCCTGATAATTTTTGGTGACAATTTCCAACATTTCTCCCTTTGTGGTCGGCTCCTTCATTAGATATTTGAGGGCCAGGAACTCCACCAATTCAGCCACCTTACCATCTATGGCATCAGTAATCAAGGACATAGTGTCTGGCAGGGTCTGGGATGAACCCTCCCCTTGTTCACTGCTGGAGTCCCCATGGGATTGGCTTGATGGGGTGGCAGCCGTGGCATTGGGTGGAGAGGAGCCTCCCTCGGGACCCAGCGTTCCAGCAGCAGAAACCTCCTCTATGGTGCCTAGGATCAGACAAGAGAAGGAAGAAGAGGATGAGGAGGAAAGGCAATGAGAGGGAGTGAAAGAGGCAGCCTCCTGCTACGCAGCATGGGGAACCTGCCCACCGACCAGGCCCTGCATCTCACTTTGGTCCTGAGAGTCTTCCTGAAGCTGGTGCTTTGGAGATCCAGACATGATGACTCTGGTAATGGATAGCGGGCAGGAGCTTGGTGATGGGGACTCAGAGGCCTGGGGAAGAGAGAGAGGTTGTGAGCAGCCTTAGCTGAGAATAGCACTTTTGGCAGATCTCACAAATGATAATTACAGTTCTCCTTTCTGGTTGGTGCTCTCGGACCTCACAGGCTCCTGCCCTGCTGGAGATCCTGTCCCCAGAGAACCTGGTACAGAAAATGATATGGCTTCTTGGAGTGCAGCTGGTCTACACAGGACAAGGCTCTAGGGAAGACAGTAGGGTGGATGAAGCCAGGTACTACAGGTTCCCCTCTAATCCAGGAGGGTGGGGCCATTGGTACTCATTCATGGCATCCACTTCACCTTGACTCCAGACACTGCCTGGGCCTCCTCTGCAGTGGGACCTGAGGACACTGCCTTATATCAAGATCCTCACTGCCTGGTTCCTGGAGGCCCTGTAAAAGGCATGGAGAGCCCTGAGGCTCAGACCACAAACACAGTCCTGCTCCCACAGCCCTCACAGGAGGGGTGAGCTGGACTCTGAGGTTCCCACTGTTCTAAGATGGATGGTCCCCTCTGCTCACTCAGGGCCCTAAAATTTCCCTGGGCAGGGCTGGGACCCCAGCCCTCTGGTTGCCTGAAGCAAACCTCAGAACAAATAACCAACTCCCTGGTAGTGCACAAAGGGCTGTGAGGGGCCTCGCACTCAGCCACACTTGCCCAGGACTGACAGGAAAAGGTGGCCTAACTCAGTGGGGTCCGCTAGCCCTGGGAAGGGAGGCCTTCTCCATCATCACCTTGATGAATGCTAAGGTCTGAGACTCTCCCTGTGATGACCTCAGCCCACCTTCTTTAAACGTGGTCCTTATCATGAGACAATCGAAGAAGCATTCAGGGGAAGCCAGTCCCTCTGTGCTTCCTGGGTCTTCCCATAAGTGACAGAAGAGATAAGTTGAGGCTGGTGTTCTCTATTTTCAGATAAGAGGTTCCCTGGGCTCACACCTAGACTCCTGGAAGGGCCTGGGATGCCTGCGGTCTCCTAGGCTGATAACAGTGGAGCTCTGAGAAGTTCCATCTTTTTTGGGGGGTGGAGTATCTTCATACCTTCAGTCCTTACCAAAGTTCCTCACCTTGATTCCTGGCAGATCCTGGCCTCCTCTCTCTGCTGACCAGGTGTGGCTCCTCTGCTGACCTGGTGACACACCAAACACCAATGCGGACCTCCCTGAGACCAGGGAGAAAGAAGTGAGGATGTAGCATTGCTGAAAACCCCTGCATGGGGTTTCCCCAGGCTTTGGACAGAAGGACCAGGTTTCAGGGTCCATCCTTTGTCTAGAGCTTGCCCAAGGATTCACATTACCCCTCTGCTGACTGGCACATACATCTTGTAATCCAAGGCCACTACCTCTATTTGATTCCAGAGGTGGAAGCAGGAGGTAGGGCGCCTGTTCCTCATTGTCCTGCTTGGGGCCATCCTGGCCTGCCAGTAGTGGCAGATTTCCTCCGTCTGTGATCTGTATACCTGGAATTAAACTCCGCTAACCAAGACAAACTGCTCTGAGACAACAAAAATCAGGGGAAACTGTGCACTGCACCTCCAAGGGCTGAACCAGGTTGCCCTTTGGTTCAGAGTATAGTCCCCGCCCCCTGAGTCCTGGAAGGAGCCCACCCCTCTGTGGACCTGAGTCCTCCCTCAAATTCCAGGTCAGAATGCAGGATACAGCTCAGTTTCAAAGCACAGGCCAGCTAGGTCTCATGTATTATGGGTCTTGGGCCCTTCAGTCCTACCTCAGTTCTCACCTTGACTGAGACAGTCTGGGCTCTTCCCTTTTCTGAGGCCACACTCCTTCCACCAAATTCTTAAGCTCCCTCAGACCTGGGTGCAGGATCAGGAATCCCCTGCCTGGTCACTGCACGGGGATTCCCTGGACTAGAGCAGGGGCAGGCTCCTGTATGGTGCTCCCTGTTCTGGAGTCTAAAGCCCCCTCCTTTGTGACCAAGGTTGTCACCATTCTCAGAGCCTCACCTGTGGAATTGGACGACCACACATCCAGGCACCATGCCCAATGCTTGGTAGGGCTGCTAACTAGGGAAGAGATGTCCTCCAAAGGGTTCCTTTATTGGAGTGGTTTGGGTGCCCTGTTTCCCTCTCATGGGTCATGACCTTGGCTCCTGGCAGGCTGAACCCCCATCCCTGTTTGCCTGAGTATTTCCTGTCACACCAAGGCTCTGACTTCCAGGTCCCCTGAGGCCCAAGTGGGGAGGGGACGCATTCTGACAGCCTGGCCCTGTGTGGTTCAGGGCTGACAACAGAGATGGATCTGGATTGTTCAGAGAGCCTCTCTCTGAGCTGGGGCTTCCTTACCTCCCTAGGGACCCCATCTGGACTGGGAACCAGGTTCTCTCTGCTCCCTTCACCTAAAGGTCAGTCCTCAGAACATGGCCATCACCCCTCTTTGACTCCACAGGTTAAAGTCAGAGGATGTCACACATATACTTTCACATGGCTGACAAGAGGTGCTAAACGGGATCCTCTCAGGGCCGCTCTGTCTCTCCTCAGACCTCACTTTGTCTCTACCAGAGCCAGGGTCTCCCATCTGTTCCCCTCAGACCAGTCTTCTGAAACTCAGGGACCCCTAAGGCAGAAAGTTCTTCCTGGGTGTAGGCTCTCCTGAAGAGGAATCCCTGGGCTTCTGGGCTGACAAGAGAGTACGGGCTGGGTTATTTGGGGACCCGCCCATTGGGCAGGGCATCCTCAGTTCCCTCATAGCTTCTCTACTTAATTGATTCGAGGTTCTCACAGCTCCATTCACCTGAAGCAGAGACCTCAGAAGAAGGCTCTCACACCCATGGTCTTCTGAGGCAAGTATGGAGGAGGAGCCTCATTCCTATAAATCGGCCCTGTGTGGTGCAGGGCAGACAACAGAGACAGATCTGGATTACTTGGAGCCCTCCCTCCACCCTCACCCTGACCTATCTGACTCACCTCCTCTCTGCATTCCAGCCCTCAGAACAAGGCTCCGACTCTGCACTCAGGGTCTCCTGATATCATAAGGGGCCCTCCTGAGAATTCTTTCCTAGGGTACAAGGCAGCCCTGGATTGTTTGTAGCCTGTCTCTCTAGAGTGGAGCTTCCACACTCTCCCACAGCTCCTCAATTTGACCTAACTGAGCCTGGCTTTCTCTGATCCCCTCACCTGATGGGGGAAACTGGGAAAAGAGACCTCACATCACTCTTACTCGATGAAGCAGCAGTCAGTGGATGTCACATCCAGAAACATGCCCAAGGTCTTCGAGCTCTGACCGCAGGAGCTGAACGGGATTCTCCAGGTTCCCTACCTCCTCCCTAGGGGTCTTCACCTTGGTTCCTGGCAGAGCCCAGACCTTTATCCGCTGTGGACCTGAGTCTGTCCCCCTAGACCCAGACTTGAAATCCTGGGTTCCCCGGAGCTAGAAAGAACACTCATATGAAAATCCTTCCCCGGAGTGCAGGGCTGACAAGAGTCAGATCTGGATGGTTCGGAGAGGCTGTCTATGGAGTATACATCTTCAGTCGACCTTCAAGTCTCAAGTTGAGCTAACACAACCCAGTCCCTCTCTGAAGCCCGGAACTCAGAACAAGGCCCTCCCATTGCTCTGACCCCATGAGGAGTGGCGGAGGTCACAGCCGGTGACATGTCCCTGACAACAGGAGTGGAAGGAGATTCTGTAGGTCCCTCTGCCCTCCCTAGAAGCCATAACAGTGGTTCCCAGCAGAGCCTGGACCCTGGTCCTCTCCACCTCAGTCAGCTTTCCTTGATCTACAGTCCCCATGGTAGCAAGCATCAGAGGGACGGGGTGGTCAGACTGACAGCACCGCCTGGGGTCTCAAAGGTTGAGGGCAGAGACCAGGCTTAAGTGTATAAAAAGTATAATTACCTATTTATATGTGTGGATAAGTTCATATATTCAGAGTGGATATGTATTTTATATGTGTATTTATACAAATGCATTTTCACATATATATGTAGACTACATACACTTATTTGAGTAAAGATTTTTGTAATACACATGATTCACTTTTAAACTTGCTGTTATATTTCTACTACATTCTTTTTATTCTATTAAAGTAGCGACTGTTTTGAAAGCCAGTCCTCAACCACTAGGGAGGGTTCAGGTGGTTATTAGCTCAGTCTCAGCCATGCTGTCTCCTTTCTCCTGCTGTCCTCCTGTTTCTCCCAGGCCATTGGCATCTCCGGCATGAGGAGCTGCCAGGCCGTGCAGTGTTGCAGAGCCAGGAGATTTTCAACTTTCTTCCAACTCATGCTGTCACAGCTCACCTATGCAGGCCTCAGCCCCCACCCACTCCCCTCCCCACTCCAGCTACAAGTGCCAGTTAGACAGTCTTCAGTCTTCCTCAGGGCTTCCTCGGAAAATGTTGTTCACAGACATTTAGTTGCCTATGTGTGTTTGCTAGGCTTCTCTCACTCTTTTCTGTTGGTCTCTGGGGTTGTCAGAAAGCACAAAGGAGTAGCCCACATTTGTTTGTCCTTTTGGCAGCTACAGGTAAGGCCCTGACTTACAAGGAATTTAAGGAAAACTGAGTTTTATGTTACTCTGTTTCCCATCAATGAATATGCACACTGCTCTATTTATTTCACTTTTTTCCCTGAATCTGTCAGTAGTTTTATAGGTGCCTCTATAAAGACCTTATCTAGTCTTCCTAGATATTTCTAGGATTTAATTACTCTTATAAAAGGCACATTGTCTATTAATTGCTCTAGTCAGTGCTTTGGCATTACAGAGCTTTCTGTATTGGTAACCAAGTGCCCACTTAGTTCTGAAGTGTCAGTCACTTAAATATTCCATTCCTGTTCCTTGGAATTTTCAAGATACATGATGATATTGTCACTGTAAGTTTTTTCCCCAATAATATCACCTCTCATTATTTTTGTTTCTGTAGCCTGACTTTTGTGTCTCAGTGCTGTTTTGAAATGTACACGTGATATATATCTATGTCTTGTTCCTGACTTTAACCATAATTCTTCTAACAGTCCCATTTGAGTATGTTTGATGTTGGTTTTAAGAAATAGAAGTAAAAAAAAGAAATGGAAGTTTGCTTTTTATACTAGTTAAATAAATGTTTCATTATATTAAATATGCTACTTATTTATGTAGGATGTTCACTGCTATAAGAGGGAGTTTGCCTCGAGTGTTTTTACCCTGGAGCGTGCTCATGTGGTTATGAACCCAGGAGAGCTGGCCTGGAAGCATGAGTTGAGCAAGCAATATTTCTGCAGGCTGTGGATGGTCAGACATCTGATGGTGAGAAGTTTCCCTGAGCACTTGTGGAACTGGTCTCCAAAACAACCTTGTCCTGGAACATCTGTGGGTGGCCTGAGCTTGGAGTACAGTTTCACTTCCTGCAGTGGAATAAATGTTTTCTCTGTCTATTTAGACCAGTTTGGCCATTTATTAATTTTATTGCTATAAAGTGATCAGTGTCCTTTAGGATTTTATGTATAATGGACAATATCTGTCATGGAAGTTTTTTATTACAGAAAACCTGAAACATAGTAGAGAGGATATTATTGTGAACTCACTACACCTGACATTCAGCAACAGCAAACTTGAATACATGGCAAATCTGGTTCCAGTGAGTCCTTCCACCTACCTATATTGAAACTACTGGAAAAATGTAGAGTAAGTCAAAAGCATCCCAATATTTCATCTCTCAATATTTCAATATACTTTTCTAAAAGATAAGCTTTTTTGGGGCTGACAATTTAGCTCAGTGGTTTCACTGCCTGCTGCGCAAGCACAAGGTCCAGAGTTCGATCCCCGGTATAAAAACCAAAAAAACAAAAAACAAACAAACAAAAAAAGATAAGCGTTTTTTAAAAGTTACAATAGTTATAATTTCTAAAAAGTATATAACTGATCATCAAATATAAAATATGGTAAATACTTTTCTGTTAGACATATACTTTTTTCAGTAGCTTCCTTGAACGTATATCCAAATATGATTCATATAGAGTAATTTTTGCTATGACTCTTAAATATTTCTTAATCTATACATTTCTTGCCCTGATCTTTTCTCCTTGCAATTACTTTTAGTTGTTGAAAAGAAAAAGGCACGTACCATTTTCTGTTTTCCATACTCTGGATTTTGTTCAATGCCACACTATTGTGTCTTATATTCTTTTTTGCCTAGCTTACAGGGCCATGTGTTGTTATAGGTTCGTTA